AAGAAAGTCTGAACCTGCAGATCCATTTCTGCCACTGGCTGGTTGGTTTTTTGTGTGTTGTTTTTTTTAGGTTCTGCCTATATGTACCTGCCTGCATTTAAAAAACAACCGAGCAGCGCACTCTGTGGCTGAGGTGCTGCAGTAATGTGGACGTGTAATGTGACCACCAGATGACTGTGTGGGGAAACTGCCCCAGGGTGTGCTGTCTGGTTGGTCTGCCCCGCAACATTTTAAACTGGTGCAATAAGAGGCACGTCCAGATTGTGGCAAGCCTCCAGTGTGACTGCAGCCTTAGTGTACCTGTATGATACATATGTGGTTCCATTCACATTTCATGTCTTTAGGTAACTTAGGTGTACACATAAAAGAAACATGTGAAGAAGCTTTCGCCAACGTAGGCCTGACTCTTTGTCATCACTGCTCTCTCTCATCTTGTCTGGAGACTGGCATGATCATAATTGTGCACATCTCATGCAATTGTAGCTGCCTACTTCTGTCCTGGGCTGTCTATTATGTTGGAGCTGTAAATCCTTCCACTGGTCAGCAGATGCAAGCAAAGTGCTTTTCTTGACTCCCTCCAAATCCAAAGTCCATCCTCAAGACTGTGCTCCTCCGCAGCGGTATTACATTTCTCCAATCAAATGGCAATATTTTATACTTGGGGAGATGTGATTGTCATTGCAGGTGCTCTCTAAGGGAACGCTGCAAATGCTTAGTGGGATGTGGCTGGGTGTTAAAGATGCTTAATGGATGCTGTTTGTGACTTGATATAACACAACTATGTCCTCCTGCTTGTACCGTGTTTAAGGATTTCTATTATTAATTCTGAAACTTCTTTGGGGACCTCCAACAACAGAGACAGCACAATTTTATTAGAGATTGCTAATGCTATCTAGCACTTTAAAAATGTAGAGAACTCACATTTCCATCCCCAGACCCCATCTTCTGGTAGCAGTGCTCTTCCAAAGTGTGAATGTTTGTTAGTTTTTATTAGGATTTTGTTATTTAATGCACTGTATACTTTGAAAGCTGTGATGTCCTGTCTGTTGCTCTGGAGTGCATATCTTGCTATGCTTTTTTTTTTTTTAACGGCTAAGGCTGTGATCGCACGAGCAGTTTGGCCCAACTCAGCCACTCCTCCCCTCTGGATCAAAAGGGCACAATCAGACAGCCACATCTGCCAGGCGTTCCCCAGCCATACTTATTTTATTATTTATTTATTATTCACATTTTAATCCCACCCTCCCCGGAGGCTCAGGGCGGCTAACAGGGTATATCGCCAAATAAAATAGAAAACAGTACAAATTTTTTAAATACATCAGCATTAAAACAATATTAGTGCTTGTCTCAGTTAAATTCCAATTTACAATTTCTAAAAAAGGATGGCCGCCCCCTAGATGTCCCATTCTCGCCCATGATGCAGTGGTTGTGGGGCATTG